TGATGTTTGCCGATCTTAGGTGGTTCAGTTCTAGTGGGGGAGGGGAAGAGCCAGTCAAGCATGTTCACGATGCAGGCATTTGGAGACAAGAAGAGGGCGTCATGACCTTGGAGAGCATCATCTCACACCCTCTGTTTACCGGCACTTGTGGAGTAGAAAAATCCGGTCTCCTTTACATTTTTTCTTGCAAACTTTCGTCCTACCGATTTGTAACACCGATCGGTACATCCGCCGATTGCGCCCCGAATGTTCCTATCCTTGAGCTCCGAGGTCAGCAAACTCTGTGCCACCCTGGTGACGTGTGGTGCATGCGCAAGCATCGAAAACCGCCCGAGAGATGCTGCCAATCACCACGGCCTCTAGATTTAGCCCACACCTGGTCACCTGAATCCTCTTGATCTCTGCAGCCAGTGATGTGCTCGGATGTGAGCACTCCAATTGCTAAACAGGAAATTTATTAGAACCGCCCCCTGAAGATCATGTTCGCCACAACACCCACGACCGGCCCGCTCCCATTAGGCCCACTCACACGATTCCTTTGGTCATTTGTTACGTGACGTAAGTGGTAATGTGCGAACTTTGGTATCAATCCGACACCCGTGAAGAGGTTATCGGGGGATAGATAAGTCTATTCAATCAGATGTGACAGGCTTGAGAGCACTTCAAAAGGACCTTGGCCCACGCCCTTACACGAGGGCCTGCGTTGCAGAATGTCAAGAGGGCATTAGTGAAAAGCAACCTCGATCAGCCTCAGCCCTGAGCTTGAGCTCGCCGAAAAATCGCATGGCAAACGTCTAGGGTTGTTTCCATCCTGGCAATGCATGTCTCAGGCCAAACCCAGAGAAGGGGGTGGGTGCAACGTCAAGATGGATAGGTGTGTAACTGTGCTATGCCTGTTTCTGACATGTGTTGGCCGTCCCCCTCCCCTTCATCCCATCTCTCTAATTTTGCAGGATTTAACGCTCATTGGAGAGCCGAGATGGTGCCATGGATTGATGTGCTGCATTTGTTCCCCGTAAGCTGCATGCAAGCATGGACGGATGGGGAAACTCTGCACAGACCTGCAGGGCTTTGAGATGTTCAAAGGTATTTGCTTGCATAGGATATCCACCTTCAAGTTTGGCGAAATGCTTCTCTCCCTGGTCGAATCCTTCTAAATGTATTGCATTTGTAAGTGCAATGCTCCGTGATCACAACGTTTTGTCAGGCATTTGTGGTAGGCAATTTCTTATGTTATGGGATATCACTTGAGAGGAGATTTGTAATACTTGCGTGACCAGAACAAATCACATGGTTGCAACGTTCCAGGGGCTCACTCAAATGATAGCCTTAAGAAAAACATGGATATTCTTCCACTTTGGCCGCCTAAAGCGCGCCTACCTAGACGCTGAATGGGTCGCATCTTTTTCAGCCTTCCCAACGCATCGCTTCAACAGTCTTGGCCGTATTGTGATCCCCTCTATACTTGTATTGTGCTCAAGTGGGGGTGAGGTTAGTACATAAATCGGTCAACTTTGACTGTATGTCTTACCTATCCCATTCTAATTATACACCACGGGTATCATCGTGCTTCCGAAGTCTCTGTCGTGATTGGCAACCTCCTCTTGCACGGCCTAGCACGGGAACATGGATGAAAGTGGATTCTGGAGGCTACGCCTCAGTGCCTTGAGAGTGGCCGAACATGAGATGACATTCCATCCTATCCGTCCAATATATATGGCCTCTGGGGTTACGATGTAGTGGAAGATGCAAGTATTAAAGCTGCCCGCCTCGCCGACATTGAACAGTGAGAGACAGAAATTCTCATTACCTTTACCAAACAATTATTTTCTCACAATTTTATTGGTTCATGAACAATAATTTGCATCTTTTTTCTGCGCAACACTTTACCCTGACATATCTACAAACCGCAAGCTCACTAGAAGGCGGAAACACGTGCTTCAAGCAGGTAGCCATGGATTTCAACTTCTTTGAACCATCCGACAGCGGCTCCCGGACTTCCTTTAGCGTGAGTCGTGCACACGAGTCTTGATTCTCTGGCAGCCACTGACACTTCAATCTTTATTCTAGCGCCCTCGCGGTCGTTCTGCTGCCTCTCATCCTGATGCTTTCCCGTCCTCCGAATCTGCAGGACGCAACATCCAATCCGATCATGATTCGGTGTATGAGCAACCTATTAATGACTTCAACAGTGGTCCGACAGAAAACCCTCAGTTTAGGGTTTCTCATACCCCTCATTCATTTCCTTCCCGTCCACCACCCATTGCCTTCAATGCCTCCTCTTCGGGTACTTTTGCTCAGTCGCTGGTACAACCAGACCTGTTCAACGAAAACCAATTCCTTCCATTTGGCAATGATGCCTTGGAACCACTACAATCAACTATTTCTGCGCTAGACTTGAATCTAGGTTATCCTTATGATCACCGAGCTGCTACGCAGGGGTTCTCCAGCAACAGTTGGGCGAACTCGCCCTCATATTCTTCTCCTTCACATTCCCCAGCAGCTACGGCCTTTTCTTCGCGACATTCATTTGAAGCCAATACGGAGAGAAGCGCCTTTAGTCATGGCCTACGACCACCACAGCGACAACCTCAGGCATGGGATGAAGTCGCTGCGCCCTTGGAGAAAAGTCATTCGTCTTCCATGAATAGGGTTACGAGCACTTCAGTAAATCTCACGACTACCCCATCTGGTCATATGCCAAGTGTACGGAGAAAAATGGTCAATGATCTTCACATTTGTTATCGAAACCTAGATTTACCAAAACCACTGCTAAAACCCCGCCCTCGCAGACGACGTGGCTCTGGAAGACGCAGCAAAGCTGCCCCACGCCACGCCTTTTCTCAGCCATCCACTCCAAGTGCAGACGAATCTCATGCCGAGAGTCCTGGATATGACAATGACGGAAAGGAGACAGAGAGAAGCAGCCCCTGCGAGTCGCAAGGTTCTCAATCCGATCTACAAGGGGACAACGCTCCATGGTTTGCCTGCCCATATGTGAAGAGAGATAATCCATCTCTGGAGAAAGGCTGTTGGGTAAAGCTCAAATCGGTTGCCTACGTCAAACAACATCTAAGAGGGAATCATTCATCTCCCAGGCAATGTCTTGAATGTCTCGACATATCCACCAAGGATCCCGCGTGCCCTAATTGCGGGCAGATTAAGATGACGTCAACTTCAATCCCACACGAGGACAAGAACTCCCCTATTCATCAGCGGGGAAACAAAAATACCAGTCATGAAACGCAATGGGAGCGCGTTTATAGCAGCCTTTTCCCAAATGAGGAAAATGTCCCAAGCCCTTACCTGGACCCCACACTCACGCTGTGGATGCGACATCTCATAGACTTTCTGGAGAAGCACGGTCGCAAGCGACTGAGTGCAACATATGCATCAGTACCCGAGGAGCAGTTCCAAGCCGCCTTTAGCGTGTGGATAATCGAGGCGCTCAATCAGTATGCACCTGATGAAGTGAGAGCATCTGAAATGCTGTTGCGCTGGATGGATTCGGCTTACAGCATGTCTCTCCGGGATGACAATGCCCTACTATCCAACATGCGGCAAACATCGAATGTTGACTTTCGATCGCATCATGGTGTTGTAAATAATGCGCCGGGAGAAATGAGTGGTCTTAATGAGCAAGGTGGGGGAGCTACCCTCCAGTGTCAGGCACCCAATTCATGGCAATGGGCGCTGGTTCTGCCAATGAAGACGATCCGCACGCCTTGGAGGCTTCCTGGAGATTTATGAATTATGAATGATGTATAAGAATGCTTTGAGAACATGTGGCAATGCATTTGGGTGCGAGAGCTCACACTAGTAGTCAGTGAGTGATATGGTCGCTAACACGCCGGTACATCATACGATGATAACGAGCCAACTTGACTACAATCAAGATAAAATAGGGTACTAATTGCTTTTCTTGCTCTTTTGGTACAATTTAAGTCTCGTTGATGTATGCGATATTTATACTCTTATGTCCTGTTTCATGTAAATTATTTCCCACTCGCAATCTTAAGTATAGCCGAAGTATGAAGTATGATTGGACAATGCCACTTACTAAACCAAATTGAGCACAAACATTTATCTCACTTGGACTTATTAGGCTATTCACTAGTCATGATGATGATTTGGTGACTCTTGTCGATGATTCGAAGAAGGTTGAACGGGATTTCTCCGTTCTCGATGGCACGGGGAGTATGTCATGTTATGCTCGCCCCCTATGACGAAATGGATGGAGCTCACATCTCCAATTCGTTAACACGGTGGGGTCCTTCTATATCCCTCTTTACCTATGGCCATTGAGAACCAGCGGACATACGCACAAGCTACTAGCTTGGATATGCACGAGTCCCACGTGTTCATCTACTTGGACTATATGGAGTTTTCTTCCACCCAAGGTCTGCATCCTTGCCGGCGATCAAGCACTGAATCGAACGCTTCTGAGTCATGCAAGGCATATCTACCGATTGTATAACAAACGATTCAGGGGCCGGGCCGTTCCACCGGGATCTGCACTCGGTAAATCCACGCGAGTGCTAGATACTTTGCCGAGAGCAAGCACACCGACGGGACTTTAAGGTTGGGTAACATACATGATTGGTGCCCCTAAGTGAGCCCCCTCCATGTGTCGGATTCACAAGATCTAATAAAGCTCTATCTAATTAGGCTTCTCATCTGTGGCAACAAGAGTTTCGACTCTGTAGGGGGAGGTCTCCCGGATGCCGTCGTATTTATTGCACACCATCTCTCGGTAAGCCTTCGGCAAGCCCTTATTGTGCCTAACCTGTACTATGCCTAACCCCCACACGCGTTTCTAAGTTAGCCATCTCATTCTGTTAGCACGGTCAGTTCAACCCTCTGATACTGACTACATTACACCAAGTGTGTACACTGTAACAAAGGTTGACCGCCGTAAAGGGGTGAGTTGGCCGATCGCTGTAAAGCTTCTGTTCGTACTTTATAGGTGGAAAAACTAGAATTTGCGACTAATACTAAAGGCCCCCGTGGTGGAGTGGTTACCACATAGCTCTTATACTCCCAAGCGATTGTGAGATATGCTAGGGTCGCCAGTTCGATCCTGGCCGGGGGCACCAAACCTTTTTTCTTCTTTTTCTTTTTGGTACCCTTGAGTTTTGTCCTTTCCTAATATGATCCTTAACTCCAGGTTTTGTGTTATTGTGTACGGCTATATACTGAGATGTCTAGGGCTTTCGTTGAATCTACTTGGACTCATATAACACAGCTCGGCTTTCTGTGTTTAAAGAAGAGTTACTGCGTGTTCGGATTAATATATATTCCATACCTCGTCGGCCAAAGGGTGGAACATTTAATCCGAACACACACTCGGCACATCTACAAAGTACCGCGGGCCGCTTCTTCTTTTCTTCCTTTCTTCTCCTCTTTTTCCTTCTTTCCTTCTTTTTCCCTTCCATCCCTGAGAGCCCATGACATAGCAAGTATGCATCGCCTCTTGATCGTTTAGCGTCACAGGGTTGGACAATCTAGCCATGGCCACGAACACATGACAAGAGCGAGCTTTGAGTCATCCGGCGCATCAACTCCAGATGCTCTCTCGCATAGCCACGCACGCGGTGGAAAAAAACACGGGTCGTTGACCACTGAACTTACACTGAAAAGGTATCGATCAAGACTCGTGTTTTTCTAGCACCTCTTGCCACGATGCAATCCATTTGAGTTGTACAACGTACCCGAGACGACATTGGGAATTGTGTGGGGTCTGTAGTACACGTGGTGATCTGCCAATCCAATAGATGAGCCCTGCTCCGAACGAAACCTCACGGCGCCCGGCAACCAGGTAATCTGGGTTTTGCTTGGGCTCCCACAGTTCTACTTCAGTAGGACGTTTGATTTGTTCTCAGTCACAAAGGTGCCTTTCAAAATCGGCAGACGACTCTCTCGCTTTGGGCCGAGATTTGGCATACATGTCTCACGAATACGTAGTGTGCCGATGTGGATCATGGCTGGCGGAACAGCCACACACGCATTCTCCAATTACTCGCAGGCTGTCGTGGTCGCTGACGGCTGGTGTACACCAACTACCACCCCAGGAACGTGCACCATAAGACAAGCCCAAATGACGGCAGGGGAGGGGGCTCAAAGTCTTGCTTGATTGGTAGATTACCTATTTTATGTTCCGTTATCCAGGGGAACATGAACATTTCACACACTCTCTCCCCTCCCTGTGAGTTTGGCGCTCAAACGCCGTTTTGCATCGCCTCCGACAATATGTGCATCCCCAAGACTGCACGATGGGTGGGAGCTGTTGTTGACATTATTGGAGGGTCTTGTCTTTAAAAAATCTCTATTGCGTTTCCGGACCTTCGTGCACATGTAGTTTGCAACAAATAGGATGTGTTTGGAATATGTTGTGAAGCTTTATTGCACTTTGTGATTTCTCGAAACCAGCGAAGCGCTGAATTCTTAGCAGAGTGCATGCCCCCCCCTCTTTCACATCTACTTGCACACAACTTTTGCCAGAATGCAAAGTGTTCTTCACTGTAAGTTTATCCCGAATAAATCTCAAATCCCAAGTCCGCTATGGCCCCTCGGTTTTATTGTATTTTGCTTCACGTCCTCCTCCAACTCCTGTATTAGCAGGTTGTAAGTTGAGCGACAAGCGTGGAAGGTGATTCCTTGAAACAGGCTAGAATATTGAAAAATAAAGTAGATTAGCTCTATCGGGTATAGATGACCTTGTTCCCTTACTTATCGATAGACACCCATGGATGCTTCTCGCTGTGAGCAGGCACCTTACTGGATAACCCCGTTACTTACTGTCCTTCTCTTTGATAGGGTTATTTAAATATATTACCTTATACTTTATGTCTTAATAGGTGGATAAAATTCTGGTAAACCTCTATCATGTACGGCAATTAGGTACTGAACGATTTCGTTCGTTCTTAGAATATCGCGGGCGGTCAAGCATTGGATGCATGGAGCAAGCACGGGGCGCAGAGCCGCATGCCTGCCCCACCCTCCACGGTTTACTTGTAAGTGTACCTCCTGGGTGTGTGATATCCATATCACTGCCCTTGGACAATCCCATTCTTACACATCGCATCGCATCGCATCACATCCAACGTGTACAGCATCACGAAGAGGCCGTCAAACCCAGAATGCACCGCGCTATGTCGTGTCATGGAGCCAATAGCAATGTCCTGGACATGGATGTTGCTTTGCAAACCCAGACTTCTCAGTAAATGCCCTTGGGGTCCCTCATACCACTATTCTCATACCCTTATCCTATACTATTTCTCTTTATTGAAGCCCTATCTGCGCCAAAACTCCATGGCTCCTCTTCCTTGAAGGGAGAAGCTTTGCACAATTAGCTCTTAATTGAATCAAGAGCCATCAATGTCCAGATGAGACCTCTGCAATAATCCCGGGTTTCCATCGTCTCCCCACGATCCACGCTTACACCGAGCCAACACCAACTTCACCCAACACGCTTGGGCCCTAAGACCTACAATTAGGTGCAACATGGCAATCAACGCTCAACTGTTCGATATGATCAACGATAATTCGAGAACCTTTACGAACCATGGGATCCCTCCCCTCTCGATGCGTTTATACCCGACCAGTCGCTCACCGGGGTCGGTGACTGGTGCCAGTCGACCTCTTCGGCTCCGCCACTCCGGCCGGTAGAGCTATTCCACGATGATCGAGTTACGCAGTTCGACGCTACAACGTACCAATATGCTATCGATCAATTCGGTTATACCTCACCCCAACCTCTTAATCCCATGGCTGCCGGGTCGTTCCCCAACAACACCTGGCCCGATTTTCAAGCCAACCCTGCGCCTGACCATTTCCACGAGCTGCTAGGCTTATCCTCCAACAACTGCTTCGACTGGAACAACGATAACATACAACTCATCCAAGGCGAACCCGTCGGCCAGGGACCGCTAGTGTCATGGCAGCAAAACCTCACACTTTCGCCTAGCAATTGTTTCGCTACCACGTCACAGATTGCAGGGGCAGCGGCGAATTTCTCCAGCGCCTCTTCGGACAGTATGTCTATTATACGGAAACAGATGGTCAAGGAACTTCATCGATGCTTCCAAAAGCGCCTACTAGGAGCGACGCCGACATCAAAGAGCCGCCAACGCAGGCAACGCGGGCAACGCAGGCCTAATACACGCGGCGGGATTGACAGACGCCGCGCCACACCTCAGTCGCACATCCTAGATCCATACACACCTATTAGTGAAGCCTCCGAATCTGTTCGGGATAGGAGGAGCACAAAGACCAAAACTCAGAACGGTGGTGGTGCTCCATGGTTCATTTGCCCATATGCAGCCCATAATCCCCTTGCATTAGAAAGAGGATGTTGGGTAAAGCTAAAGTCGATTACATATCTCAAGGCACACCTGAGGTCGAACCATAACCTTTTCCAATGTGACGGCTGTTCCGAAACTCCCGATGCTGAAAGATGCTTGGAGTCTGATGCATTGCAATTTCACAACTGCAATGCAACCAATACCTTCTCGACTTCGGTATTAAGCGAGGAGCAGCATAAAAAGATATTGCACGCGCGAGAGGACCGAGCCATCTCTCACGAAGACCAATGGACACGCATTTATCGCACCATTTTCCGCCCGGAGTCGGATCTTCCTTCTCCCTATTTGAAGCCAGACGTGAAAAAATGGATGCGGGAGCTCATAGAGTTTTCTGAGAGAGATGGTAACAAGGCATTGGGACAGAAATACCCGCAAATACCAACAGAACAATTTAAAATTGTATTCCGCATATGGGTACCGGAGGCTCTGAATAGCTATGCGTCTCCAGAAGTGAACGGCTCCGACATCGTTCTGAATCGGATGAGGGCATTTTACTGCTTGCCTCTTGTGAATACCATCGAGGTTACACCAATGGTTCAATCATTCTCGCAACCTTGGCAGGATGGAAATCCTCCACCGCAACAAATACAGCAGACATCGAACTCTACTCTCCAGCCACATCAGGGCCTTTGGGATAATGGCCAAGCAGCTGCATTTAATAGCTTTGTTGAGCATGATCAGCAAGATATGGGATACCAACTTGTGCCGTATCCCCCCAGTCTGCGGTGAACGATGGGCGGGTGCCCTGGATGAACACCCCATTGTCGTGGCATTGGCCGATCGACAGGGGAGAGTTCACCACCTTCAATATGCCGGAACTTATGGCTATTATAGCTCGATAAATAACGCTTTTTACACGGTGACAATAGGAAGCCGGCGGCGGCGAAATGGATAACGGAATACCAAAAGGATGCCAAATTGACACCTACTTATCTTGACGACATAGAATGCGCAACTGAATGAGATCCAAAGTTAGATCTTTTCCGCGGGAAACCTGAAGGAGGTTTATAAAGGTGGTTTGGTTGGGCGTAGACTGGCTACGACATGCAGAACTTGTACCACAACAGATTGTTGCTATTCATTTAACGTTATTTTTGTATTGGGTTATGGGTAACAGGAGTACTGTTTGTTATTCCTTCTTTCTTTATCTATTTTACGTTGGAGATGTGATGAAGGTGGGTTAGCAGATACAAATAAACATAAGGCAGAAATTATATTTCTATACACAAATAATTCTTTCTCTCGCATTTGGGCACATTGGCTTTGCCGATGAAGAAGAAGAAAAATTCTGTGCAGAACCGTGCCGATGCTTGACTCGTAATATTGGTGTCTGGTGAGAGAGAGGCCAACTTTCGCGCATCACTTAACCAAACAACGGGATGCGGAGCTCTGGGATGGAACTGGCGACGTTAAATGTCTTTCTCCATTGTATTTTATTGCCTTGTAAAATACATGGTGCTCCATGAAGTAGATTAATAATTAAATATTATGAGTGACAGCCCCCTCGTTTGAATGTCAAGGTGGCTGCAATGATGAACTGCTCCGTTAAGTCTGATCATTGCGCGAGGTTCTCCTAATCGCACCAACCTCACTCTTTTGTAGATTTTCATTTAAGCTATCAATGTGACGAGCCAGTATATTTTTCTCATGTATTTTCCATCGGAGGTCTCTTGAGGATATGCTACGTATGTGCAGTTATTTTACCAACAGTCTGCGCACGCCTTTCTTCA